TTAGTAGTAGTACTAGTAGTAGTAGTAGTAGTACTAGTAGAACTAGTAGTAGTAGTAGTATTAGTACTAGTAGTAGTAGTAACACTACTAGTAGTAGTAGTAGTACTAGTAGAAATAGTAGTAGTAGTTGCAGTAGTAGTACTAGTAGTAGTAGTAACAGTACTAGTAGTAGTAGTAGTAGTACTAGTAGTATTACTAGTAATAGTAGTACTAGTAGTAGTAGTAGTAGTATTAGTAGTAGTAGTAATACTAGTATTAGTACTAGTAGTAGTAGAAGTAGTACCAGTAGTAGTAATACTAGTAGAAGTAGTATTAATACTAGTAGTACTAGTCGTAGTGGTAGTAGTAGTAATAATAATAGTAGTAGTAGTAGTACTAGTACCACTAGTAGAAGTAGTAGTAGTACTAGTAGTAGTAGAATCAGTACTAGTAGTAGTAGTAGTACTAGTAGTATTAGTATTAGTAGTAGTACTATTAGTAGTAGTACTAGTAGTAGTAGTAGGACTAGTAGTAGTAGTACCAGAAGTAGTAGTAGTACCAGAAGTAGTAGTAGTAGTTCTAGTAGTAGTAGTAGTATTAGTATTAGTACTAGTAGTAGTAGTAGTACTAGTAGTAGTAGTATTACTAGTAGTAGTAGTAGTAGCACTAGTAGTAGTAGTACTTAAATTAGTACTAGTAGTAGTATTAGTACTAGTATTAGTACTAGTAGTAGTAGTACCAGTAGTAGTAATACTAGTAGGAGTAGTAGTATTAGTACTAGTAGTACTAGTCGTAGTGGTAGTAGTAGTAGTAATACTAGTAGTAGTAGTAGTACTAGTAGCACTAGTAGTAGTAGTAGTAGTACTAGTAGTAGTAGAATCAGTACTAGTAGTAGTAGTAGTACTAGTAGTATTAGTATTAGTAGTAGTACTAGTAGTAGTGGTAGTATTACTAGTAGTAGTAATAGTAGTAGCACTAGTAGTAGTAGTAATAAAAGTAGTAGTAATATTACTAGTAGTAGTAGTAGTATTAGTATTAGTACTAGTACTAGTAGTAGTAGTAGCACTAGTAGTAGTAGTACTTAAATTAGTATTAGTAGTAGTAGTACTAGTAGTAGTAGTAATACTAGTAGTAGTAGTAGTACTATTAGTGGTACTAGTAGTAGTACTAGTAGTAGTAGTACTAGTAATATTAGTAGTACTAGTAGTAGTACTAGTAGTATTAGTAGTATTAGTAGTACTAGTAGTAGTAGTACAAGTAGTAGTAGTAGTATTAGTACTAGTATTAGTACTAGTAGTAGTAGTAGTACTAGTAGTAGTAGTAGTAGTATTACTAGTATTAGTAGTAGTAGCACTAGTAGTAGTAGTACTAAAAGTAGTAGTAGTAGTAGTACTAGTATTAGTAGTAGTAGTAGTACTAGTAGTAGTAGTACTAGTACTAGTAGTAATATTAGTAGTAGTGGTAGTAGTATTAGTAGTAGTACTGCTAGTAGTAGTAGTAGTATTACTAGTAGTATTAGTAGTAATAGTACTAGAATTATTAGTGCTAGTCGTAGTATTAGTACCAGTAGTAGTAGTAGTGGTAGTTGCACTAGTAGTAGCAGTAGTAGTACTCGTAGTAGTAGTAGTACTAGTATTAGTACTAGTAGTATTAGTAGTATAAATAGTAGTAGTACTAGAATTAGTAGTAGTAGGAGTACTAGCAGTACTAGTAGTAGTGGTTTTAGTAGTAGTACTAGTAGTAGTAGTAGTACTAGTAGTATTAGTTGTAGTACTAGTAGTAGAAGTAGTAGTACTAGTAGTAGTAATACTAGTAGTACTAGTAGTAGTAGTAGTATTAGTAGTACTAGTAGTAGTACTAGTAGTAGTAGTACTAGTAGTAGTAGTGCAAGTAGTAGTAGTAGTTGTACTAGTAGTAGTAGTAGTACTAGTAGAATTAGTAGTACTAGTAGAAGTAATAGTAATACTAGTAGTAGTAGTAGTACTAGTAGTAATAGTAGTACTAGTAGAAGTAGTGGTAGTATTAGTAGTAGTAGTAGTATTAGTATTACTAGTAGTAATAGTAGTAGTAGTATTACTAGCAGTAGTAGTAGTAGTACTAGTAGTAGTGGTAGTATTACTAGTAGTAGTAGTAGTAGCACTAGTAGTAGTAGTAATAATAGTAGTAGTAATATTACTAGTAGTAGTAGTAGTATTAGTATTAGTACTAGTAGTAGTAGTAGTACTAGTAGTAGTAGTATTACTAATAGTAGTAGTAGTAGCACTAGTATTAGTAGTACTTCAATTAGTAGTATTAGTGCTAGTAGTAGTAGTATTAGTAGTACTATTAGTGGTACTAGTAGTAGTACTAGTAGTAGTAGCAGTACTAGTAGTATTATTAGTAGTAATATTACTAGTAGTAGTAGTACTAGAAGTAGTACAAGTAGTAGTAGTACTTGCAATAGTAGTAGTACTAGTAATATTAGTAATAGTAGTAGTAGTATTACTAGAAGTAGTAGTAGTATTAGTACTAGTAGTAGTAGTAGTAGTACTAAGAGTAGTAGTAGTACTAGTAGTAGTAGTACTAGTAATATTAGCAGTACTAGTAGTAGTACTAGTAGTAGTAGTATTAGTAGTATTAGTAGTAGTAATACTAGTAGTATTAGTAGAAGTGTTACTAGTAGTAGTAGTACTAGTAGTAGTAGTAGTAGGAGTATTAGCATTAGTACTAGTAGTAGTAGTAGTACCAGTACTAGTAATACTAGTAGTAGTAGTAATAGTATTAGTACTAGTAGTACTAGACGTAGCGGTAGTAGTAGTAGTAGTAGTAATAGTAGTAGTAGTAGTACTAGTAGCACTAGTAGTAGTAGTAGTAGTGTTAGTAGTAGTAGAATCAGTACTAGTAGTAGTAGTAGTACTAGTAGTATTAGTAGTAGTACTAGTAGTAGTAGTAGTAGTACTAGTAGAACTAGTAGTAGTAGTAGTATTAGTACTAGTAGTAGTAGTAACAGTACTAGTAGTAGTAGTAGTAGTACTAGTAGAAATAGTAGTAGTAGTAGCAGTAGTAGTACTAGTAGTAGTAGTAACAGTACTAGTAGTAGTAGTAGTAGTACTAGTAGTATTACTAGTAATAGTAGTACTAGTAGTAGTAGTAGTAGTATTAGTAGTAGTATTAGTAATACTAGTATTAGTACTAGTAGTAGTAGAAGTAGTACCAGTGGTAGTAATACTAGTAGAAGTAGTATTAATACTAGTAGTACTAGTCGTAGTGGTAGTAGTAGTAGTAATAATAGTAGTAGTAGTAGTAGTAGTACCACTAGTAGTAGTAGTACTAGTACTAGTAGTAGTAGAATCAGTACTAGTAGTAGTAGTAGTACCAGTAGTATTAGTATTAGTAGTAGTATTATTAGTAGTAGTACTAGTAGTAGTAGTAGCACTAGTAGTAGTAGTACTAGGAGTAGTAGTAGTAGTACTAGTAGTAGTGGTAATAGTACTAGTAGTAGTATTAGTAGTAGTAGTGGTAGTTGCACTAGTAGTAGCAGTAGTAGTACTCGTAGGAGTAGTAGTAGTACTAGTATTAGTAATAGTAGTATTAGTAGTACCAATAGTAGTAGTACTAGTATTAGTAGTAGTAGGAGTACTAGCAGTACTAGTAGTAGTGGTAGTAGTAGCAGTAGTAGTACTAGTAGTAGTAGTAATAGTAGTTGTAGTAATATTACTAGTAGTAGTAGTATTATTAGTATTAGTACTAGTAGTAGTAGTAGTACTAGTAGTAGTAGTATTACTAGTAGTAGTAGTAGTATCACTAGTAGTACTAGTACTTAAATTATTAGTATTAGTGCTAGTAGTAGTAGTAGTATTAGTAGTACTAGTAGTGGTACTAGTAGTAGTACTAGTAGTAGTAGTAGTAATAGTAGTATTATTAGTAGTAATATTACTAGTAGTAGCAGTACTAGAAGTAGTACAAGTAGTAGTAGTACTTGCAATAGTAGTAGTACTAGTAGTATTAGTAATAGTAGTAGTAGTAGTATTACTATTAGTAGTAGTAGTAGCACTAGTAATAGTAGTACTAAAAGTAGTAGAAGTAGTACTAGTAGTAGTACTCGTGGTAGTAGTAGTACTAGTAGTAGTAGTAGTAGTATTACTAGTAGTAGTGGTAGTAGCACAAGTAGTAGTAGTACTAAAAGTAATAGTAATACTAGTAGTAGTAGTAGTACTAGTAGTAGTAGTAGTACTAGTAGTATAATTAATACTAGTAGTAGTAGTAGTACTAGTAGTAGTAGTAGTACTAGAAGTATTATTAGTAGTAATAGTACTAGTAGTAGTAGTACAAGTACTAGTAGTAGTAGTACTAGTAGTAGTAGTATTACTAGAAGTAGTAGTAGTATTAGTACTAGTAGTAGTAGTAGTAGTACAAGGAGTAGTATTAGTACTAGTAGTAGTAGTAGTACTACGAGTAGTGTTAATAGTAGTAGTACTAGTAGTAGTAGTACTAGTAATATTAGTAGTACTAGTAGTAGTACTAGTAGTAGTAGTAGTATTAGTAGTACTAGTAGTAGTAGTACAAGTAGTAGTAGTGCTAGTCGTAGTATTAGTACCAGTAGTAGTAGTAGTGGTAGTTGCACTAGTAGTAGCAGTAGTAGTACTCGTAGTAGTAGTAGTAGTATTACTAGTAGTAGTACTAGTAGTATTAGTAGTACCAATAGTAGTAGTACTAGTATTAGTAGTAGTAGGAGTATTAGCAGTACTAGTAGTAGTGGTAGTAGTAGTAGTAGTAGTACTAGTAGTAGTAGTACTAGTAGTAGTAGTTGTAGTACTAGTAGTAGAAGTAGTAGTATTAGTAGTAGTAATAGTAGTAGTATTAGTAGTAGTAGTAGTAGTATTAGTAGTACTAGTAGTAGTACTAGTAGTATTAGTACTAGTAGTAGTAGTGCAAGTAGTAGTAGTAGTACTAGTAGTAGTAGTAGTAGTAGTACTAGTAGAAGTAGTAGTACTAGTAGTAGTAATAGTAGTACTAGTAGTAGTAGTAGTACTAGTAGTAGT